GTGTGAGTATAAGTGTGAGTATTTGTGTGTATGAGCGTGTGTATTTGTGTGTATGAGTGTGAGTAAGTATAAGTGTATTTGTGTGTATGAGCGTGTGTGTGAGTATTTGTGTGTATGAGTGTGAGTATAAGTGTGAGTATTTGTGTGTATGAGTGTGAGCATAAGTGTGAGTATTTGTGTGTATGTGTGTGTGTATTTGTGTGTGTGTGTGTGAGTATTTGTGTGTACGAGTGTATGTGTGTGTGTGTATATAAGTGTGAGTATTTGTGTATATGAGTGTGAGCATAAGTGTGAGTATTTGTGTGTATGTGTGTGTGTGTATGAGTATAAGTGTGAGTATTTGTGTGTATGAGCGTGTGTGTGAGTGTGTGAGCATAAGTGTGAGTATTTGTGTGTATGTACAAGTGTGAGTTTTTCTGTGTATGAGTGTGTGTGTGAGTGTATGTGTGAGTAGTTGTGTGTATGAGCGTGTGTGTGAGTGTGTGAGCATAAGTGTGAGTATTTGTGTGTATGAGCGTGTGTGTGTGAGTATAAGTGTGAGTATTAGCGTGTGTGAGTATTTGTGTGTATGACCGTGTGTGTGAGAGTAGGTGAGTATAAGTGTGAGTATTTGTGTGTATGAGTGTGTATATAAGTGTGAGTATTTGTGTGTATGAGCGTGTGTGTGAGTGTGTGTGTGAGTATTAGCGTGTGTGAGTATTTGTGTGTATGACCGTGTGTGTGAGCATGCGTGTTCTGCACTCACCTGCTTCTGTAGTGATCTATGTGGAAGCTGCCCACTTTACACTTCACCTTCGTATAAACGTCCTGAACATCCACAGACGCGCTCATGTCCTCCATCTCTGCCATCACACACAGCTCTGTAACACACACACACACACATATTTGTATATCTCTTTACACAACCGGAGCGGAACTCATGTCGGACAACATCTCCAGGACGCTACGCACCACATGACTAGTAAGTCAAATATCAAATAACTGCCCCGATGACTTGTGTTCTACCCGCTTAAATGATAGAAGTACTTGTGCTGTCCAATCTATAAAGACTGTGTCTGTTCCCCGAATAGTGAGGTCAAAATATAAATTCAATGCAGGATCTATAAAAAATCTGATAGAAATTAAACCGGAAAATTGCTAAATAAATGAACAGAAGTTCATAATGGTAATGTTTGTAATCTCTTAATGTCTTCTAGTCACACTGATGAGTTCAGAGCTGCTGATAGGACAGCTTACATTTGGAGACAATAGAAAACATCAACCGGATAAGATTCGATTTATAACATCTATTCATAAATCTAACAGTTTATAACATACAAACATAATTACTATTAGCTGAGGAACGAAAAACAGCATTTGATGCAGAATAATGGAGGAATGATGGGCTCAGTTCTCCTCTGGATGTACAGTGACAATAATGAAGCAGTTACACACACACACACTGCAGATGTGCAGCAGGAGACGCTCTTTATCTCACTCATTCTGCATCAGCAGCAGGTCAGAGGTCAGCGGGCTGCTCGTTCTGTGTGTGAGTGTGTGAGTGCGCGACCGGAGGATCATGTCAGTTCTCTGTCAATCTCTGCTTGTTCTGCTGACCGGGCAGCTGTGATCCCTGCAGCCCAAGAGCCCAGAGCCGCTTCCTGTTTCCTGTTTGAAGGGGCGACACGTCCATTCAGCACCAAACAGCCCCAAGAAAAATAACAACAAACAACAGCAGCAGCGGCGCGGCGAGAGCTCAAAGCGTTCCTCTGGGGCTGTGAATCTCACACACGGTTCTGCACTTCCCTTCCGCACACGACGCAGTCACCGCTCCTCATCTCCCTCACAGCTGCGTGTCACACGGCCGGGACAGGAGGTCCAAGATCACCTCTGCTCTCGCTTTCCTTCCTCAACCCTCGCTCTTTCTCTGCTTAAAATATCAGTCGCTAAAGTCGCTCCATTTCTGTCAGCGATGGAGTTTTGGTTTCTTTGTCTTGTTTAGTTTGGGACACTTGACTGATTGCACAGACACTATTGAAGAGAGCTGAACTGGATGATGACATCACTGAATCAATGAACTGACTCTTTTATCGTCGTCTTGCATTATAAACAAACTATTTTCCTGTTTGACTCTGTAAAGCTGCTTTGACACAATCAGTATTGTATAAAGTGCTGTATAAATAAAGGTGACTTGACTAAAGGGGTGACGGGTCGTTTTTGATTGAATCACTGAAACCACATACGGAGGTCGTCAGAGACGCACATGAGTGTGTGTGTGTGAGTGTGAGTGTGTGTGAGAGAGTGTGTGTGAGTGTGTGTGTGTCTGTGTGTGTGTGTGTCTGTGTGTGTGTGTGTGAGTGTGTGTGTGTGTGTGTGGTCAGTACCGTTGTTTCTGGGCTCGCAGGAGAACAGCTGGAGTGTGAGTTTAGGCAGCATCCACTGCATCCAGATGCTGAGTTTTCCGCTGGCGCTGCTGATGCTGCAGGTCTTCTGCTCCAGAGTCATGGTCTCACCGGCCGCAGGGTCCTCGGTGTGCGCCGAATCACCCTGAAACACACACGTCACACACTCTCCCGTTACACAGGCAAAGGGAGCGAGTTATTATATTCTCATGAAACAACAAGAGAAAGTTTATTGAAGCAATGAGTCGATTTTGAGTTCATGTTGGTTCGTCTGGACTAAGTTTCAGAAAACATTTTGTCTTCTGTTAAAGCTTGCGCAATTACGAAATGTCATTTTCATGAGTGGGTAAACATTTTACCAATGTATTTATATTGATTTTAAAAATATTAGTAAAGCACATACTTTATATATTTGTAAATATTTATAAAAATGTCTGTGTGTGAATAACATATATATTCATATATATTTACATATACGTATAAAACCCATACATATACATATATATATACACACACATACATCTCATCAGTCTGTGAGAGGTGATGATGTGCATGACCTCTGACCTCTGTAGGAGAGCCCAGGTCAGCTGACGGGCTGTAGGTGCTGGTGTCCCGAGGGATGGTGCCCAGACTGCTGTGGACGGGTGACGAGGGTCCAGCGGGGGGCGCCGAGGAGTCGGGGAATCCAGCTGACGCTCTCTGAGCTCCTCTGCTCTGCATCCGGTCAAACACACTGAAGATCTGACTCCATCGACACCACAAACCAAACACCAGCTGGACCTGACACACACCAGAGCTGGAGTCAACACTCTTCATGGCTTCAATTTAGTGCATTTATGACACAAACTGAACGCATTAAGATCTTCTAAAGAGCTGCAGATTGAAGATGAATGTTGAGTAACTTCCTGCTAAATCATAACACAATGAAACGCTTGTAGAAACGAGTGGTTTGACGTCAATCGTCTGGTGTCACGTCACTCTGCTGTGCTTCCTAATGTCTCCAGAAGAGCATCATCAGTACATCCTCTGAGCTCACGATGATCAGACGCTCATGTTCATGAGCCCATCACTGTCCTCAGCTGCTGACGGCTCTATAAATAAACTCAAACACAGCAGCTGATTCTAACTAGTTCCAACCGTGTGATAACAGAAAACACGACCAACATCTGCTTAGACAAACAGCTAAAGAAACGCTGTGAGTGTGTGCGTGAGTGTGTGCGTGCGTGAGTGTGTGTGTGTGTGTGCGTGCGTGTGTGTGAGTGTGTGTGTGTGTGCGTGCGTGAGTGTGTGCGTGCGTGAGTGTGTGCGTGCGTGAGTGTGTGCGTGCGTGAGTGTGTGTGTGTGTGCGTGTGTGCATGCGTGTGTGTGCGTGTGTGTAGTGCGTGTGTGTGTGTGCATGTGCGAGTGCATGTGTGTGTGCGAGTGCATATGTGTGTGTGTGCGTGCATGCCTGTGTGTGTGTGTGTGCGTGTGTGCATGCGTGCGTGTGCACAGTGCGTGTGTGTGTGAGTGCGTGTGTGTGTGTGTGTGTGTGTGTGCGTGTGTCTGTGAGTGTGTGTGTGTGTGTGTGTGCGTGTGTCTGTGAGTGTGTGTGTGTGTGTGTGTGCGTGTGTCTGTGAGTGTGTGTGTGTGTGTGTGTGCGTGTGTCTGTGAGTGTGTGTGTGTGTGTGTGTGCGTGTGTCTGTGAGTGTGTGTGTGTGTGTGTGTGAGTGCGTAGCGTCTCATCCATGTGCGCACACACACACAAACGCACACACAAACGCACACACACACGCAGCCGCCTACAGACCATCAGAACATCTCAGAAGATCATCAGTGTCTCTCACTGATCTGCTGCACTGATGATCTTCTCTCAGGATCCACCTGAAGCTGGTGACAGCACTGATGGTCTCTGTTTTTCTCTATCCTGTCTCCATCTAGGGGTGTGCGATAACGACAAAAATTATATCTCGATATTTTCTGCAATTTTGTCGATAACGATAATCAGACGATATCTTGCTGAGCGTGTTATTGTGCTGGTATTTTGGCAGCTTTAGGACTGCTGTGGATAGCTGACTCCCAAAGCTTCTGATATTCTTCATATTCTGTGCGGTGGTTCGTTTGCAGCAGTAACAGAAATTAACTTTTCAAAAAGTTTACATTGATTTTTACCTTTTATGGGCATTTTTACCTTCATAAGGCCAATTTTTTCTAACCTAATTAAATATATGAATCATCTTTTGTTTCAAATTCTTAAATTTAAGCAATTCATTTAAATAGTAAGACACTATAGGGCTACTAATCAAATGAAATCAGTATCAACAAAATTTGTGTTTGCAATGCAAACACAATGCAAACGATGCAAACAGGAAGAGAATCTGCATCTGAAGTGGCATTTAGATGCATTTACACAGACTGTTTAATGCAGGACATGCGTGCATTTAACCTGGAGTTACAAATCATAAATAATGTTTTGATGTTTAAAAAAAAAAAAAGTTGAATACTGATATTTAAAATGATTTGGGGGGGGGGGGAGAGGAAAATATACTTTAAATATAAAATTAAAAACTCCAGTATGTGGCGGCAAATCACTGCATGAGTGAGTCATTGAGTCATTCACTCAACC